AAAAAAAAAAAACAACCACAAAATGGCCAATTAAGCTATAAAATAAATAAAAATATAAGTAAATCTGTTATATTCAAATTGAAGTTGAAGGTCTGCTGTTCAGTGAACAATAGCCAAGTGAAAGTGACAAAGAAAAAGATTAGAGAAGACACAAATTACCAGCATTAGGAATCAAACAGGGAATCACCGCAGACCCTGAAGACATTAAAAGGTAATCAGAGAATGTTGCCAACAAACCTACACACGTGAAGTTGACAACTTAGATAAAATGGACCAATTTCATGAGAAGCACGAACTACCACAACTCATCTGTATGAAATAGATAATTTAAATAGCTCCATAATGACTAAGGAAAATGAATTTGTCATTTAAAAACTCATGAAAAAGAAATCTCCAGGCCCAGATGGTTTCACTGGAGAACCGCTCCAAGAATTAAATTTCTATACAGTCTCTTCCTGAAAACAGAAGTACAGGAACACTTACCAATTATGTTTATGAGACTATTGTCACCTTGTTACCAAAAACAAACAAGGAGAGTCTAAGGAAAAAAGAAAACTACAGAGCAAGAGCTCATGATTATAGACATAAAAATCTGTACCAAAATATCAGCAAATAATATTCCATAACAGAGAAAGAATTTTATACCATGATCAAGTAGAAATTATCCCAAGGATATAAGACTGGTTCAATATTTGGAAAATTCATAAATACAGTCTACCATATTAAGATACTAAAGAAAAAATCCGACATCATATTTATCAATGCAAAGTCTTTGACAAAATTCAGCACTCATTCATGATGAAATTTCTCAGAAAAACCAGAACAAGGGGAATTTTCTTGGCTTGATAAAGAATATCTACAGAAAACCTACTGCTAACATGACACTTAGTGGTAAAAGACAAAAAAAATACTTCCCCTGCTTGATTGGGAACAAGCAAGGATATTAGCTCTCACCACTCTTTTTTTTTTTTTTAATGTTTACTTATTTTTGAAGGAGAGAGACAGAGTGTGAGTGGGGGGGCAGGGGCAGAGAGAGAGGGAGACACACAATCTGAAGCAGGCTCCAGGCTCTGAGCTGTCACCGCAGAGCCCGACACGGGGCTTGAACCCACAAACCGTGAGATCACGACCTGAGCCAAAGTCGATTGCTCAACTGACTGACACACCAAGCCCCAGGTCTCACCACTCTTAATCAACCTGGTTATGTAAGTTCTAGCCAGGAGAGTAAGTCAGGAAAAGGAAATAAAAGGCCTATAGTTTGAAAAAGAAGGAAGAAAACTATCCCTCTATGCAGATCACATGACCATACCCAAGAAATGTATAAGAAAGTACAAAATCACAAGAAATGTAAAAAAATGTCCTAGAATCAGTAAGTTCAGCAAGATCACAAGATAAAAGATAAGCATACAAATATCATTGTACTTATGACCACATGGACATCAAAATTCAAGAAAAAGTTTTTCTTCCCAAAAAACTCCACTTAAGCATAAATCTAACAAGATATGTATAGGATGTTATATACTGCAGACTACAAAATGTTGTTGAAAGAAATCAAAGAAAGTCTAAATGGAGAGATGTCTTCCATAGATTGAAAGACTCAATTATATAGTAAAGATGTCCACTCTCCCAAAATGGATATGCACGTTTAGCGAAAATTCTGTCAAAATCTCAGTGAAGGCTTTTGTTAGTATACACAAGTTTATTTTAAAATTTTTATAGGGGGGCACCTGGGTGGCTCAGTTGGTCAAGTGTCCGACTTTGGCCCAGGTCATGATCTCGCGGTTCTGAGTTGGAGCCCGACATCGGGCTCTCTGCTGTCAGCACAGAGCCTCCTTCTGATCCTCTGTGTCCCCCTTTCTCTCTGCACCTGCCCCCCTCTCAAAAATAAAAATACAACACTAGACATGAATAAACAAAGTTTATATAGAAAGGCAAAGGAGCCAAAATAGCTGGAATAGTTTTAAAAGAAAAGAATAAACTTAATCAGTTTGTCCATTATCAAGACGTATTATATAGCCGCAGTAACAGAGGCTGTGTGGTGTTGGCAACGAAATGGGCACATGGATCAATGAAACCCAGAAACAGCCCCACAAGTATGTCTAAGTGATTTTCAACAAAGATGCCAAAGCCATTCACTGCAGGGAAGAAGATAGCCTTTTCAAAGAAGTGCTATTGGAGCGAATGTTTAGCCAGAGGTAAATAAATTAGGCTCAACCTCAGCCTCATAACTTATACAAAGAAATTAATTCACACTAGCTCATCACAGACTTAAGTGTAAAACACAAGGCAATAAAAGTTTTTAGGAAAAAAAATTTTTTTTAAGCTCTAGGTCCAGACAAGGAGTTTTTAAGACTTGACATCAAAAACATTGAACCCTAAAAGGAATTACTGATAAATACAGCATCATCAAAATAAAAAAAAACATTTGCTTCACAAAAGACCCGAATAAGAGGATGTTTTAAAAAGCAAACTACA